CAGGCAGCGGGTGGGGCCGCTGAGGGTTGAGGTCTTGGGTTTAGTAGCAGTGTGAGCATTGTTTTTATTTTGAATCGAAACAGCAGTAAATCTGTCACAAAAGGCAGCCTGAGCAGCCTCACAAGTGGTCTGACTGGCCTGGTGGTGGTTTGGGGATGGTTTGTGGGGCTCTGGCTCTCCTCGTGGGCATTGGGCTGGTATTGGCTTCGTGTCCATTCTGCCATTGAGCTTAGATAAATAAGGGGCAATTTTCCCTCAGAAGCCTCTCCTGAAGGCCTTTCAGTGCCACACCAGCTCTCCCCAGAGGATGGGGGAGTTCCTGGGTCTTGTGCTGAGTCTTACGGTACCCCTCATGGCTGGGGATGCTGTGAGCAATTCTGAGGAAAGGCCTGACAGGGTTCGTGAGGGTGTGCAGAGAGTTTGGGCTGTGTGTGGCCTGGGAGGGAGCATGGGGCTGTGGAGAGCAGAGCAGGGGTAGAATCAGGGGGGAAGGGATCATGGGGTGGTTAATGGGACCTGAATTTGGGAAAGAAGTGGGGGAATATGAGAACATGCAGGTCCCCCTGCGTAGCAAAGTCAACAAGTGCTTTCAGTCTCCTCTGGGAAGTGGAGTAAGTAAGCCCTTGCTGCAGTCAGGACAAAGTAAGTGTCATGGGCTGTGAAGCTAAGCTAGAGCATATGGAGGGATGGGAGAGGGCAGTCGGGACATGGGGATGTGTTTAATAGGGCTGGGAAAGGAAACAGGGCTCATCCCGGCACTGCTGGATGCTCTTGTTGGTGTCCTTGGTGGAGCTGCTCCTGATGTTCTTCTCAGAGCTTGCTCTTGCCTTGCCTGACAGAGAGAAGGTGACTGCTTCATACAGCAGAAGAAATAATTTACAGTGCTCATCAGCCTGCAACTTCAGGTGTATTGTTCAGTTCCCTAAGTATTTAGTGAGTGAAATTTCAAAGACAGGCTCTCAAACTCACTGAATGCCTTTGAGCCCAAACTTGGGATCTAATCTGACCTCTGTTATGTATTATACTATTACAGATTATAGCTAGTTCCTTAACACCAGTACTTATTTTCACAGCAAAAAACCATGCTGTCTCATGACATTTCCTGCATCTTTTCATAACATAAACTTAGCTACCTCTTAAGTGTAGATTTTTTAAAATTTTATTTTATGCATTAATTTATTTTGGAGTAATCCAAAAAGATCCTTCCCTTTCCTTCATTAGTTCTATGCCATTATTACAAGAAGACAGCCAAGCCCATAGATCTATTGGGCTGTTTAATTGCTCTGCAAACACAGAGGGGTGCTAATAAGCTTTCTTTCAAGCATGTGTTCGTATGTCAACACTTTTGCTTCTGTCAGAAGCTTAAAAATGGAAACAGTTTTCTCTTTAAGAAAACAGGACCCAAATAAGGAGATGATGGAGTGGTGAAGATTCCTCTAGTGAGTCTGTTCCAGCTCATTCCTTAGAAAGGCTGTGTATGAAAGATCAGAGAAGAGGCCAATAGATCTGGGTTTTGTCCAGGGGTCTTTGGGTTTAAAGCTCTCTGCAACCACTTGAGCTCATTTTCCCTGTGACTTGGCTGGGTACAACTTCTTTCTCTGCCCAAGCTGTTAAAAATCTAAAACTTTACTCTTCATAATTCTTTCAGTTGCGTGACAGATACAACCTATCCTTTAACAAAAATGGAAGCTATCAAGAAAAAGATGCAGATGTTGAAGTTAGACAAGGAGAATGCCATTGACAGAGCAGAGCAGGCTGAGACAGATAAGAAGGCAGCTGAGGACAAATGCAAACAGGTAAGTAGAAATAAAATCACTGATTGTGTGTTTGCGCTGTGGAAATAAGTGTAACAAAGTGCTGTGTTGCAAGTTTCTGATTCAGAAAGCAAAATAATTTGAAGTCGGGTTTTCTGTTAATCTTCTTTTGAAGTCTTTTGCCTTTTTGTGATGTTAGACTCATACAGCCAGGGCTAGGTATTAACTTCTCTTTTCAGCAGAACATGTCTTTGCAAAATTAGCACTATCCACAGATTATTGAGAGTACTTACATATTTGCCTTAATTTTCTTGTGCTCGTGATTCCAGGGAAAAGGCCTTGCATACTCAAAATCAAAGCTGTATACCTTGAACACCTGTAGGATCAGTGTTAATACCTCCTGAAGGGTCAGCTGTGTGTAAACATTAATTGAGCCTTTCCTTGAAGTTAATGAATAAAGTTCACTTGACTAGTCTTCAGTATACAGAGTGGTACCAGCTGTGACTCAACAGTAGATAATGTTGTATTATTTTTTTGTTAAGAATAATCAGAAATATCTTCATTTGAAAGCTCTTCTTTTAACTGAATTATACTGGTAACATTTTCATATTCTTTTGCCTTTCAATGTTTTGTATTCTGGGTATCTACCTCATATTTGAGCTATATTATTTTCAGAACGATCCTGAAATGTGAGTTGACTACATTCAAGTTTCTTATAGCACTTCTTGAAAAATTACCATGTCTTTTCCTTTTACATCCTCTAAATGTGGCTGCTTCTACTGCATCTTCCAGGTTGCTATAATACGTTATTAGCATTCATTTGACCAAATACTTCTTATGTTCAAGGTCAGTTTGAGATCCTAGGTGACAGAACTAAACTTTCAACTGATCATCCATTTAGCTAAAGCAACAGGAAAAAAAAGTTCCCAAAAGGGTCAGCTGCTGCTGCCTTCCCCCTCCACCCCCAACAAAAGAAAAACTACTTGTCTCCTCTGTGTCGTTCCAGTAAGCTCCTACAAGCTGCACACGTTGCCTTGTGTACATAGTCCCTATTTCTTTCCTAGCGTCAGAGGTGTTGATCAGATGCTGTTCTGTTGGGCCACAGTTTCCCCAGCTAATATTTCTGCACTCAGTAACAGCCACAGCAGATTGTTATTCAGAGCAGTTAATGGTGATTGAACGCTTCGTCTTCCTTTACATTTAGTTATCAAAGGTGATTTCCTATGGAGTGATAAATGACACACTTGCGGGAATTTTCAAGTATCCATATGAGGGTAATTCACAATAAAAAGCTAAAAGAGAAAAATAAATCTTTGATCTTACTCCTCTTTTCTGAATTGTCTCAAATTTTTCAGCTTTTTTTTTTTAATGTGGGCACAGTACTCAAGTAGTGATTTTAATGTCATACACAAAGTAAGCATCACCTCCTTCATCCTGCTTACCGTCCCTCTGTTAAAGCATTCAAGCAAGCATATTCAGTTCTCTCACACTATCTGGTTACTCTGAGTAAAAGTGTAGCAACATAACAATGTTCAAGAATAGCACACTACCAAAAAATGTTGTTAAAGCTATCTTTGAAGCTAGAATTAAGAAAGTCAGTGCACTAAAACACAAACTATTTTGAGTGAACTATTTTGATAGACTAAATTTATGTGAAGGCAGAGCTAGATGGTTAAATCAGTTTCTCTACAGACTGAACTGTTTTGTATTGCAAATGAAATGATGGAGCAGATGGGTTTGCAGGCGCACCCTTATCAGCAGCAAGCCTCCTGATAATGTAAATTCTTCAGGGAGCATGAGACAGTTTGTCACTAAACAGTCTCCCAGCAGGTTATAAATAGTACCATTACAGTGTACAATATGGATTTATATGGAATGGAGGAGAGAGTCTGAACCTCATGGGAGGATGGAGCATACCTTGTTGGCCCACAATTAGAGAATAATTCCAGTTGGAAGGGACCTCCGGAGGTCATTGAGTCCCACCTCCCGTTTACAGCAGGGTCTGTCGCGGGCCAGACCTGTTCCGTCCTGCGTCCAGAGTATCACATTTGGCAAAAGATGATTTGGGAACAACCACTCGTTTTTTCTAGCTATACAGGAATTGAATAGTCTCCTAATAAATCATCAGGTAATAGCGTTAGAGCAAACACAAGGACAGAATTTTAAAACATTTTTAATTATGCCGTAGAATTAACTGTTGTGGGGTGTTGTGGAGTCCAAAATAGAGATGAGGTGAAAAAGGGCTTATACCAAGTTATGTATTAAACCAGATCCTGCGTATGCAGTGGCAGGGAATGTCGTTCTAAGGATGGTAAGTTTTTAATGATCTTTCCCTGGCAACTGCTACTGGTCATTCTCAGACTACTTGCCCCGGCAGAACTTTGATCTGGTCTTTTGTGACTCTTTGTACGTTATGTTAGGTTAAAACGAGAAGTAGAGGTTTTAACCATATCGAACTATAACTGATAATACATCAGAATGCTCACTTTGGGTTTTTTTCTCTCTTGAAAGGTAGAGGATGAGCTGGTAGCTCTGCAGAAAAAGTTGAAAGGAACTGAAGATGAGCTGGATAAGTACTCGGAGGCTCTCAAAGATGCCCAGGAAAAACTAGAGCAGGCTGAAAAGAAGGCCACTGATGTACGTACCTACAGCTAATATTTGCCTGTAACTATGCTCTGTGTGTTTTGCAGTACGTATGTAGTACACTGATGGTAAGAATCGTTGAGAACTTTTGCATTGCAGTACTTTGATCGGGGGACAGGAGAGGCAGTGTTGTGTTTCAGGTACGTAAGCCTCCTGTCCGCTCTGCCAAAACGAACTCAGGCTGGCCGTTCTGCACCGAGCGCGCGGCACACGCAGCTGCCCCCGGGAGCCAGCGCTTAACGGGTGCCCAAAGGGGAATCCATAGCACTGCACCCATCAGGGGGTCCTGAAACAGGGGGGGGAGCATTTGTGGGTGGGAATTCTTTAGGAAAGGTGAAATCTCCTTTGATCTGAGTCAACAAAAAGGTCATCTTTCAGGGAAGCCGGGACAGAAGCAGGGATCTGCAGTTTGGCTTCAGCCACATAGCCGGCTTAAGAGCCCGTCCCAGCTCCCCAGCCACACACCCCATTCGTTTTGCTGTCAGAATGGTTACCTGCTTCAGTTTCTCCCTCGTCTGCGTGGGCCCAAACACGGCGGTAACAAACTGGAGCGCAGGACCTGGCTGCAGTTTGTTGAACCCCACCTTTGGGGCCCTCAGGATGGCCGGGGTGACCCGGGGAGCCCAGGAGTCCTGCAGCCGGTT